TTTGACACTTCTACCTCTAGGAAGTCACTAACTCTCCATTCACTCTCCTTAGATAATTTCATTGACTTGTATCTATGTAGGGCACAATTTTGTATCTCCAGTCCAGACCTCTTAGTATAAGACTTGTATGTCCAACTACTTGTACATCTTCACCTGGACAACTCATAGGTATTTTGAAATTCAGTATGCCCTAAAGTGAACCTGTTATCCTCTCCTAAGCCAGCTTTTCCTATATTACCTGATTTGAGAAATAGGAATAAACACTACTTTCAGGGCACTTCAGTCGGTCAGGTGTCCAACTCTTAATACCGCCTTGAGTCATAGTCCCAGGGTTGTGGGATTGAGCTCTGTGTTGGGCTCTGCACTGAGCATGGAGCTTGCTTAAGATTCTCTCCCCCCCCCCCCCCCGCCTCCCGCTCACTCCCCCTCCCCCTTCCCCACTGCCCATCTCCCCTGCTCACTTTGTAAAATAAAATGAAAAAAAATTTTTTAAATACCACTTTCCATATACTGCCTAGATTACCCTTTTATTGAGTTAGCTAACAAATCTTTGAAACTTTTTATATTTTTCCTATTTATCCCCCTTTCTGTTGTTCCTGCTCTAATTTATGCCTTCATACATCTCTTGTTTATTTTTTTTTTTTTAATTTTTTTTTCAACGTTTTTATTTATTTTTGGGACAGAGAGAGACAGAGCATGAACGGGGGAGGGGCAGAGAGAGAGGGAGACACAGAATCGGAAACAGGCTCCAGGCTCCGAGCCACCAGCCCAGAGCCCGACGCGGGGCTCGAACTCATGGGCCGCGAGATCGTGACCTGGCTGAAGTCGGACGCTTAACCGACTGTGCCACCCAGGCGCCCCCATACATCTCTTGTTTAGATTATTCCTATATTCCCCTAACTTGTGTCCTTTCCTCCAATTTCTATCTTTAATACCTCCTCCAGGATGATTTTTTTCTAAAATATAATCTGTTGGGGTGCCTGGCTAGCTCAGTTGTAGAGCATCCAACTCTTGATCTCAGGGTTGAGTTCAGGCCCCACATTGTATGTGGAGCCTACCTTAAAAAAAAAAAAAAACAAATATACATGTTTATATGTATATATATATACATATATATGTGTATATATATATATACATACATATACATATACATATATGTATGATCTCTTGATGTGCTTTTTTTGCTTAAAACCCTTCAATAGTTGTAGTAGTGTTTAGCCTGTTTTACATCATGATCTAATTTGAAAATCTAATGAAAGAAATGGAATGATTTTTCTCTCCAGAAAAAAAATGCACATGCACATAGAATTTGCATTTAGGGGGTTCATTCATGAATATGGTTAAAATAATTCCTTGCTTATAGGATAAAACCTAAACTTCCTCACATCCCATAGCATAAAAAGCATACCAAATGCTGACTGCTGCTTACTCCTGCTAAACCTCATCCCCCTTGTATCTTATGATTTAGCCATGTTAAATTCCATAGTTTTTATGTTCTATGCTGTTTCAAAACATTCCTGTGCTTTTTTCTGGTCATCTTCACATCTGAATTCCTTCATTCCATCCCCCTAAACTGGTTCAGTTAGTGAATATCTACTCATGTTCCAAGATTGGTTCGTATTTTACTTTCTAAAGCCTTTCCTGGTTTCTACTTTTTCCCTGTCCCAGAGAAACTCTTTTGGGTTGCCCTTCCCTACTCTGGATACTGACTTGTATCATAGAATGTTATTGTTATTGGTATTTTTTGTTTTCTTTTACTTGGTCAAAAACTCCAGAGGGCAGATGATTTATCTTAATGCCTGGAGAGTACCTTGTATCTTAAGAAATAAGTGTGTGTTGAATGAACACAAAAAATTATCAGAAGATACTGTCTTCTGTTTCAGGAGGTATAATTACTAGGTTGATATGTGGACTTTTTAGAATTTGAAGATTTTTCTAAACTAAATTAATAATCTTCACATGAAAGTAGTGTATTAAAATTGTTGGGAAACTGCCTTAGAAGTTTTAAGAAAATTAGGTTCCAGTCTTGGCCCGTGTTCCAGTTACATCTTGGTTGCCAACAACACAAAGTGATTTTAGCTTATTTAAGCAGAAAAGGAACTTATGAAAAGGGCATTGGATAGCTCACAGAATGGACGGGAAAGCAGGAAGGAACCAAGGGAGACTCGGCTGCACATTCAGCCAGGGTCAGGCCAAGGAATAGAAGAGATAGGACATTGCTATTGGATCTGCACCACTGCCTCTGCTGACCTAGGACCTCAAGCTTATCCATGAATTATCATTACGTGTCTTTCCAGATTCTAGGTCCTAGTGTGAGTCTCTGACTTGGCTGACGCTGCATGCCACAGAACAGAACAGGAGAGAAAAAGTCTAGTTGTTTTAGTTTTTGTAGTGGGGTTGGGAGATTTGTTTCCAACCAAGATTGACACAATGTTGGATACATAGGAAATTGGGTTCAGATGGCAGGCAGGAGCTAAACAACAACAACAACAAAAACTGAAGTACAGCACTGCTGCTAGTTAATCCCTGGCTGATCGGCCTCAGAAAACTTATTTTATCTCTATGGGTATCCCTTTTCATATTTTTAATTTTGAAATTCTGTCTTCTCACCATTAAATGGTAACAGTGTAAAAGTATGAAATATTTGGTAAAACACCAGGTAAGAACATAGTGATTGTGGCTTTCATTTCTGTGAAGTAAAGTGTAACACTTTTTCCCTTTCTTTGGAGTATGTATTCGTAATTTTGAAATACCTTTTTGAAGTTCATAAACTTCTAAAGTTGAGCAGGGTAGTCCAAGGCCTGTTGTTTGAATTATTGTATGTTTTGGTATAATTTGGTAGCATTGTTCCCTGAAGATGGGAAACAATAGGGATTTTTAAATGTTGAACTAAGATTTCTTTTGACAGCCTAAGTGAATACTGATAATAGCAACCATAAATGCATTTTTTAAAGCTTATTTATTTTTGAGAGAGAGCATGAGCAAAGTGGGGGAGGGGCAGAGAGAAAGAGAATCCCAAGCAGGCTCTGTCCTGTAAGCACAGTTTCATCCCGTGAACCATGAGATCAGTACCTGAGCCAAAATCTAGTCGGACGCTTAACTGACTGAGCCACCCAGGCACTCTCATTTTTTAAAGACCATATTTAACCATTGAAAGCATGTTTTTATGCTATGTTTCCTTTTTATCTCTTTATATAGTCACTGTTTTATTTTGTGTATCTCAAATCCTGCATGTATTTTTTCATTGTCAGTCTTGGACATTTCTCTTAGTTTGTTTATAGATCTTAAATTTTGTCAACGTTGCTTGTCTCTTTTTTTTTTTTATATTTATTTATTTATTTTGAGAGAGTGTGTGAGCAGGGGAGGGGCAGAGAAAGAGAGGGAGAGAGAGAATCCCAAGCAGGCTCCTCACTGTCAGTGCAGATACCAATGTGGGGCTTGATCCCAGAAACTGTGATTGTGATCTGAGCCGAAATCAAGAGTCAGACATTTAACCGACTGAGCCACCCAGGCTCACCCCCTGCCTGCCTCTGTCTTATACTGTTAGTTATCTGGACCTCTTTTTCTTTCCTTCCTTTTTTTTTTTTTTTTTTTTTTAAGATTTTATTTATTTATTTATTTATTTATTTATTTATTTATTTATTTATTTTTCTTAGATTTTATTTAAATGAAATATTTTATTTTATTCTAAGTCATCTCTACACCCAACATGAGGCTCGAACGCACAACCTTGAGATCAAGAGTCGCATGCTCTGCCAACTGAGCCAACCAGGCACTCCTGAACCTCTTTTTCTTTTACTGAATATTTCTTGCGATCTTAAAGCAGTTAGTATTGTTTAAGTAGAAAACAAAGTTATTTGCAAACTTCTTATTATTTTTTATTTGAAACAACTGTTACGGTACATGGTAGGTACAACAGCTACTAAGTCTGTGTGAAGAGGTAAAAGCTGTAGTTATATTAATTAGGGTACATGTTAATGAAGAGATTTCAGAACGAAATGCCTTAAATAATAGTCCAGAGGTGGTTGGTTCAGGCCGGCAGGGCGGTTCTGCTACACATGGTCACTCAAGAGCCCAGTTCCTTTTCTCTTTACCATCCCCTACGGTGGGGTCCTTGTTTGCATGTTAGAACGGGTATCTGCCGTATTCACATTCCAAACCATAGCAAGGAGGAAAGAGAAAGTAAGGAGAGACCCACAGATTGTACATATAACTTCTCATATTCCCCTCACTCAGGCTAATCATATGGCACATTAAGCTGCTAAGGAACTGGGAAATGTGGTCTGCAGTTGTGTGGCCATGTGTCTAACAAGACTAGGAGGGTTTATTTTTCTTTTAATTTTTTTTTTTTTACGATTTTATTTTTAAGTAATCTCCATACCCAACATGGGGTTCAATCTCACAACCCTGAGATAAAGGGTCAGTTCTACTGATTGAGCCAGCCAGGTGCCCCTGGGAGGTTTTATTATTAAAAAGAAATAAGAGGGGCGCCTGGGTGGCGCAGTCGGTTAAGCGTCCGACTTCAGCCAGGTCACGATCTCGCGCTCAGTGAGTTCGAGCCCCGCGTCAGGCTCTGGGCTGATGGCTCGGAGCCTGGAGCCTGTTTCCGATTCTGTGTCTCCCTCTCTCTCTGCCCCTCCCCCGTTCATGCTCTGTCTCTCTCTGTCCCAAAAATAATAAACGTTAAAAAAAAAAATTAAAAAAAAAAAAAAAAGAAATAAGAGAACATATATTGGGGTGGGGGAAGTGGGGACATAGCCAGTTTTTTTGCCACATAGGTGAAAACAGAGAAACTAGGGAGAGATAGAGAAATTTGCCTTTGATTTGAAATTTGAATTAATAAATTCCCACTTGTAAGTAAACTAAAGTTATAATTTTTAAAGATTACTGAGAAGAATAGTCAAATATTTATTTTGGTATCTAGTTGAATAATTGGAGTCCATGGGGAAATGTATAGCATGTAATAAACTTTAAACTGAAAAAATACTTTTATGTTTTAGGTTTTACACATCCATAAGTAGACCTTTTTGGAGCTCTGCCAGCAAACTCAATGGCGTCCTCTACTACTGTGCCTCTAGGATTTCACTATGAAACAAAGTATGTTGTTCTCAGCTACTTGGGACTCCTCTCTCAGGAGAAGCTGCAAGAGCAACATCTTTCCTCACCCCAAGGTATTATCTTTGGCTTATGATGGTTCTGTTGAGTACTAATAATTACTTCATATTTAAAAGTACATATATTTAAATAATTTATATCTGTGGTTATAAGATCAAACAATACTAATAATTTTTTTAAAGAATAAACCCTTATCCCATCCCTTCCCACCCCCTGATCCATTCTCAGAAAAGACTTTTAATGCTTTTTAAGAGCATGATAATGTAAATGACTGCTGTTGGTACATGTAAAAATGTACTAAGTACCTGTAAATGAACAGAAATCTACCCTTCTTTAGAGATTTTATACTTAACAAGACATAGATTAGAATTACAGAATTATGTTAAAACTTTTAATATAGTTGTTTCTTGAATTGACTTTTTTCAAGGATATTAGTTTTTTAAAAATTTTTATTTTTTCAATTTACATCCAAATTACTTAGCATATAGTGCAACAATGATTTCAGCAGTAGATTCCTTAATGCCCCTTACCCATTTAGTCCATCCCCCCTCCCAAAACCCCTCCAGTAACCTTTTGTTTGCTTTCCATATTTAAGAGTCTTTTATGTTTTGCCCCCTCCCTGTTTTTATATATTTTTGCTTCCCTTCCCTTGTTTTCATCTGTTCTGTGTCTTAAAGTCCTCATATGAGTGAAGTCATATGATAGTTGTCTTTCTCTGACTAATTTCGCTTAGCATAATACCCTCTAGTTCCATTCACGTAGTTACAAATGGTAAGATTTCATTCTTTATGATTGCCGAGTAATATTTCGTTGTATATATATACCACATCTTCTTTATCCATTCATCCATCAGTGGACATTTGGGCTCTTTCTATACTTTGGCTATTGTTGATAATGCTGCCATAAACATTGGGGTGCATGTGCCCTTTCAAAACAGCATACCTGTATCCCTTGGATAAATACCTAATAGTGCAGTTGCTGGGTTGTAGGGTAGTTCTATTTGTAATTTTTTGAGGAACCTCCATATTGTTTTCCAGAGTGGCTGCACCAGTTTGCATTCCCACCAGCAGGGCAAAAGAGATCCTTTTTCTCTGCATTCTTGCCAACATCTGTTGTTGCCTGAGTTGTTAATGTTAGCCATTCTAACACGTGTGGGGTGGTATCTCATTTTGGTTTTGATTTGTATTTCCCTGATGATGAGTGAAGTTGAGCATTTTTTCATGTGTCGGTTGGCCATCTGGTTGTCTTCTTTGCAGAAGTGTCTATTCATGTCTTTGCCTATTTCTTCACTGGATTATTTGTTTTTTGGGTGTTGAATTTGATTAAGTTCTTTATAGATTTTGGATACCAACCCTTTATTTGATGTGTCGTTTGCAAATATCTTCTCCCATTCCATCAGTTGCCTTTTAGTTTTGCTGATTGTTTCCTTTGCTGTGTAGAAGCTTTTTATTTTGATGAGGTCCCGATAGTTCATTTTTCCTTTTGTTTCCCTTGCCTCAGGAGACATATTGAGTAAGAAGTTGCTGTGGCCAAGGTCAAAGAGGTTTTTGCCTGCTTTCTCCTTGAGGATTTTGATGGCTTCCTGTCTTGCACTTAGGTCTTTCATCTATTTTGAGTTTATTTTTGTGTATGGTGTAAGAAAGTGGTCCAGGTTCATTTTTCTGCATGTCCCTGTCCAGTTTTCCCAGTACCACTTGTTGAAGAAACTGTCTTTATTCCACTGGATATTCTTTCCTGCTTTGTCAAAGATTAGTTGGCCATATGTTTGTGGGTCCATTTCTGGGTTCTCTATTCTGTTCCATTGATCTGAGTGTCTGTTTTTGTGCCCTCAAGGATATTAGATTTAAACAATAGATTTATGTATCTGATAGGCTTAAGAGAGTTTTTAGCATAATTCTTTGTATTGTGAAGTTGTATGTATTCTTCTGTAAATAGTTTACCAAATGAAGCTTAAAACAGTTACTGGAGTCTAAATTAGCCTTCTTCATAAGATATAACATCATCATAAATGTTCTTTTTTTTTAAATTTTTTAACGTTTATTATATATTTTTAAGAGAGAGAGAGACAGAACACAAGCAGAGGAAGGCAGAGAGAGAGGGAGACACAGAATCTGAGGCAGCCTTCAGGCTCTGAGCTGTCAGCACAGAGCCTGACGCAGGGCTCGAACTCACAAACAATGAGATCATGACCTGAGCCGAAGTTGGATGCTTAACCGACTGAGCCACCCGGGCACCCCATAAATGTTACTTTTTTTTTTTTTTTTAATTTTTTAACGTTTATTTTTTATTATTGAGAGACAGAGAGACACAGACTATGAGCAGGGGAGGGGTAGAGAGAGGGGGAGAACAGAATCTGAAGTAGGCTCCAGGCTCTGAGCTGTCAGCACAGAGTCCGATGTGGGGCTCAAACTCACAAACTGCGAGATCATGACCCGAGCTGAAGTCAGTTGCCTAAGCAACTGAGCCACCCAGGTGCCCCTAAATGTTCTTTTTTAAAAAAATATTTATTTATTTTGAGTGAGAGTGTTCGCACGAGTAGGGGAGGGGCAGAGAGAGGGAGAAAGAGAATCCCAAACAGGCTCCACCTTGTCAGCACACAGTGGGATTCGAATTCATGAACTGTGACATCATTTCCTGAGCCAATATCGAGTCACCACTTAACTGACTGAACCACCCAGGTACCCCAACAGGTTTCTATTTTAACAAAATTGCATCAAAATAACTTTAAAAACTCCTAAAAGAAAATGCAATACCAACTATTTAATTTATAATTTATAACCAAAGTCACACAGTAACTCTTTTACTTTCTTATTTTCTATTTAAAAAAATTTTTTTTACGTTTATTTACTTATTTGAGAGAGACAGAGACAGCACAAGCAGGGGCGGAGCAGAGAGAGATGGAGAGAGAAACCCAAGCAGGCTCCATGCTGTCAGCTTAGAGCCCGATACGGGGCTCGAACCCACAAAATGTGAGATTGTGACCTGAGCCAGAACCGAGAGTCGGATGCTCAACCCACTGAGCCACCCAGGCACCCCTAATTTTTTTAATGTTAATTTTTGAGGGAAAGAGACAGAGCGTGGGTGGGGGAGGGTCAGAGAGAGGGAGAGACACAGAATCTGAAGCAGGCTCCATGCTCTAGCCCACTTCCGGTTCTGTGTCTCCCTCTCTCTCTGCGCCTCCCCCACTCAATGCTCTCTCTCTCTCTCTCTCTCAAAAATAAAAAGTAAACATTAAAAAAAAGAAATTTTAACTTAAAATGTTAATGGATATACATTTATTTAGCAATTTTGGTGAAAGGTCATGTCTTTTTAAAAAAAATATGTGTTTGTTGATGTCCATGTCATCTTTCTAGCATAAATCATTTCTATTACCTATATTTTCCAATTTGTTTAAAGCTGAGTTAGAACATAAAGACACTTATAAAACAGTATGAAGAGTCATTCTAGATTTTTATGATTTCCTCCCAATCTTTTACAGTTGTTTCTCTCACACCAATTTGATATAGTATTTAAAAAAAAAATTTTTTTTTTAGTGTTTATTTTTGAGAGAGAGAGAGAGAGCCAGAGTGCAAGCTGGGGAGGGGCAGAGAGAGAGGGAGACACAGAATCCGAAGCAGGTTCCAGGCTCTGAGCTGTCAGCACAGAGCCAGATGTGGGGCTCGAAACCACGAGCTGTGAGATCATGACCTGAGCTGAAGTTGGACGCTTAACTGACTGAGCCACCCAGGCGCCCATACAGTTTTGTTTTTTTTTAATGTTTATTTATTTTTGAGAAAGAGAGCGAGAACTAGTGCATGCGAGTGGGAAGGGACAGAAAGAGAGGGGGACAGAGGATCTGAAGTGGGCTCTGCTCTGACAGCAGAGAGCCAGATTCAGGGCTTGACCTCAAAACTGTGAGATCATAACCTCAGCCAAAATCAGGAGTCGGTCATTTAAGTGATTGAGCCACCCAGGCACTCTGATACAGTATTTTTATTTTTTTAAATTTTTTAAATTTTAAATTAATTCTATTATTATTAAAAATTTTTTTTAATGTTTATTTTTTGAGAGAGAGTGAAACAGAGCATGAGTGGGGGAGGGCTAGATAGAGGGAGACACAGAATCTGAAGCAGGCTCCAGGCTCTGAGCTGTCAGCACAGAGCCTGATGCAGGGCTCAAACCCACAAGCCGTGAGATCATGACTTGAGCTGAAGTCGGACGCTTAACTGACTGAGCCACCCAGGTGCCCCTAATACGGTATTTTTAAAGCAACTTTATAAAATATTTAATTTAGAGAAGTGTCAAGTCTCTTTGCACAATCATATTAGTAATGTCTGTGATTTTAAATAAATTGTACAATTTAAGTGACAAGTACAACTTTCATAAATAGATCAGGAGAAAATAGCTGATTCTTGGTAAGAATATAACTTACATGTGCTAGAAAGTAGTCTGCTAGCTGTATGTGTTCAGCTTGCAGCGGGCATATTCAGTATATTTTATAGTGGAATCGTAATGGGTTACTTAATTCACCAAATCACTTCAGTAGAGGTTAGTTAAGAATGCTTTTAGGGGCTCCTGGGTGGCCCATCGGTTAAGTGACTGGCTTCGACTCAGGTCATGATCTCATGGCCCATGGGTTCAAGCCCCGTGTCAGGCTCTGTGCTGACGGCTCAGAGCCTGGAGCCTGCTTCAGATTCTGTGTCTCCTTCTCTCTCTGCCCCTCCCCCGCTTGTGCTCTGTCTTACTCTGTCTCTCAAAAATAAATAAATGTAAAAAAAAAATTAAAAAGAATGCTTTTATATATTGCTTTTTTTCATTTATTTACTTTTGCTAAATCATCTAGAGTCAAACTATCGGATCAAGGAATAACAATATTTTTATAAGGAGTTTGTCATTTAAAATAAATATGTGGCTTCTAAATTGTCATACCATATAGTATAACTTTTTAAGTTTTTACACATTGTTTTAAAAACTAGTTATAACTTCTGAAAGTGCTGGATTCCATTGTTTTAAGACTTAGGTGTCTAGACTCAGTGAACATATACCATAATAGACATACAGGGAATCCAACCAAGTA